TAGCTGAAACAAATGAGCCTGAGGTAGAACTAGACTTCCCATTGGAAGGAGGGCAGGATTTGGAAGTGCCTGAGAAGGAATTCAGGAGCAGTTGAAGTGTATCCAAATTCTCCATGGAGGGGTTGAGAAAAATAAGGAAGAAGTCAGGAAAGAATTACAGAAACAATCAAATAAGATAGCAATAGCATTGGAAACAATTTTAAACCTGCAAAAAGAAGAACAAGTGATTAATAATAAAATATCAGAAATGGACAATACACTGAAAGGGCAAAGGAGTAGAACTGAAGAGATGGAAACCTGAACCAGCAAGCTGGAAGACAAATCTCTCAAGAAAAGAGCAATAAGAAAAAAGAATAAAAAAATCTGAAGGAAGTCTAAGATTCATTTAGGACAATATGAAGAGGAATAAGGTGAGGGTATTGGACTTCTAGAACAGAAAGAATCAAAGGAGGCCATATAGGCAATAGTTAAAGGGCTACTGGAAGAAAATTTCCCTAAAATTTTCTTGAAAGAAAAGAAGATAATATTTTAAAAATCTGAACAAACACCAGGAAGGATTTCCCAGAGGAAAATCACCAAGACATATCACAATCAAGTTCTCCAAAGTCAAAGACAAGGAGAGAATCCTGAAAGCAGCTAGGGAAAAGAGAATTGTTACATTACAAAGGCAAGCAAATCAGATTAAACTTTGATCTCTCAGCAGAAGCCATGCAGGCAAGAAGGCAATGGGGTGACATATATAAAACTCTGAAAGAAAAAAAAAACAACTGCCAATCAAGAATCATCTATCCATCAAAGCTGTCAATCAAATACAACGATGTAATCAAAACATTCCAGGATAAACAGAAGCCAAAGGACTTTGTCAAAGCCAACCCAGTGCTTCAAAACATCCTAAAGAGAGTTCTTCTGAACTGAGAACCAACAAGAACCAGAGATTGACACATGTGGCAGCACCACCTGGAACTCAATCAATAGATGGAAGAGTCTAGAACAAAACAAACTGACAAAAATGAATTCAGAGCATCTGGGAGGTCAGTCTATGATCAAAAGAATTACAGTATGAAAGAAGGGGAAAATATAGGAACAGAGATCCAGGTAAGGAGGAGGTCAGGTAGATTATAAAATAAAGTAGACTATTTTAAATGGAAGAATAAGTTAATGGAATATAGGGTAACCTCAACTCAAAGAAAACTAATATTTCACAAGATATCAAGAAAATGAAAATCTAAGAAGAACATGGCAACATTAAAACTATGAAGAAATTGACAAGAAAGAGCACAAAAAACATGAAATCTGTACAGGAGGTCATGCAGAACAAAGAATTCAGCAACACCACAAAAACAAAACAAAAACATAATGACAGCAATTAATTCATACAGACGCTTCACTAAGGAAGCCATTGAGACAGCCAACAATCATATGAATAAATGTTCATGATCATTATCCATTGTCGTTGTTGTTGTTAGGTGCCATCAGTATTGAAGGCTGTGCTCTTTGATCTTCATCAGTAAATATTTTAGGTCTTTTTCACTTTCAGCAAGCAAGGTTGTATCAACTGCATATCGCAGGTTATTAATGAATCTTCCTCCAATTCTGAAGCCACTTTTTTCTTCATATAACCCAGCTTCTCAGATTATTTGCTCAGCATACAGGTTGAGTAAGTATGGTGAAAGAATACAACCTTATCACACACCTTTCTTAATTTTAAAACATTCAGTGTTCCCATGTTCTGTTCGAACAAATGCCTCTTGGTCCAGGTACAGATTAAGTGTTCATGAATACTCATACTTCACATTGTTGTCCATAGCTTGTCATAATCCACACAGTTGAAAGCCTTTGCATAGTCAATAAAACACAGGTAAACATCTTTCTGATATTCTCTGCTTTCAGCCAAGATCCATCGCACATCAGCAATGATATCCCTTGTTCCACGGCCTTTTCTGAATTCAGCTTGAACCTCTACCATTGTTGTTGTTGTCAGGTGCCATTGAGTCGGAACTGACTCATAGCGACCCCATGCACAGCAGAACGAAACAATGTCCGATCCTGGGCCAACCTCACTACTGCTGCCACACTTGACTCCATCAATGATGCCACCTGGCCAATCCATCTCGTTAGAGGTCTTCCTCTTTTTCTCTGACCCTCCATCTTACCCAGTACGACATCCTTCTCTAACGATTGTTTCCTCCGGACAATATGTCCAAAGTATGAGAGACAAAGCTTAGCCATCCTGGCCTCTAAGGAGCACTCTGTCTGCACTTCTGCCATTAGAGAGATGCAAATCAAAACAACAATGAGATATCATTTCACACCAGGATACTAATAAAGTTAAAAAAAAAAAAAAAAAAAAAAGCAGAGGACAATAAATGCTGGTGAGGATGTGGAGAGACTGGGACCCTCCTCCATTGCTGGTGGGTATGTAAAATGGTTCAACCACTCTGGAAAATGGTATGGTGCTTCCTCAGAAAGATGGAAATAGAAATACCTTATGATTTAGCAATTCCTCTACTTGGTATGTATCAACAAGAAATACGAGCCTTAACATGAGTAGATATATGCACCCCAATGTTTTATGCAGCACTATTCACAGTAGCAAAAAGATGGAGACAGCCTAAATGCCCATCAATGGAAGAATGGATAAACAAACGTTGGTGCATACACACAATGGAATACTATGCTACCTTGAAGAATAACAATGAAACTGCAAACTACTGCATAACATGCATGAACCTTGAAGACATTATACTGAGTGAAATTAGTCACAAAACGACAAACATTGCATAAGACCATTATTATAAAAGCTTAAGAAAAGATACCCGTACTAAAAGAAAAAAAAAATCTTTGTTGATTACCAGGTGTGGGAGTAAGGGGATCGTAGAAGCACAGGTTAGGGGACAGTCACATCATAGCTCAGGGGTTGGGGAAGGCAATATACAAAGAAGGGGAAGGCAATATGCTAGAAGGGAAATAGTGATGAAAGAACAAGGTAGATAGGGAAACACTTAGGTAGGTCTTCATGAACTAAATGGGACAGAGGTAAATAGTGATGTATGAGATAACAGAGCTCTGTGATACAGGGTTTGAGATTCAGTCTGAATGGGTAAAAGAGAGAAAATAATGTTAAGATGGTTCACTATATTATGGATATTGGTTTCCCTTGTCTACTATTGCAAAATAGACAGTTGAGTGGGATAGAAAAGAATATTGGGAAACATGATTACAGAAATCTTGTAAACCCATGTTCAGCCTACCACAGATTGGAATATCTAAAAATGGTTCTAGAACATGCCTGGTGAAATAAGTTTCTTGCAGAGCCTTTGTAGTGTATAGGACCTTAGGTGGAATCCTGAGCCTCATCCAGAACCATCTGAGATGGGGCATTCCCACTTGAAAGGACATGCAGACCAGCCTGGATCAGCTAGAAAAACAGAAGATACTTCCTGAAAGGCCAGTATTAAAAACAAAAACAAAAACCACTATCTGTTTGGCTATTACAAGAACAAGCAAGTTGTTTGCTGGGGGCCCATCAAGGAAAGCAATCAAGTCAAACCCCTCTCCAAGACTGAAACTCAGAGGGAACACATGAGCAAACATGTGAGCAAACAAGCTCACTGGCAACCATGTTGGTCTATATGTGAGTGGAAATGAGGGAAAGTCAGTAATGAAGATATGGGCTGAGTTCATCTATGTTCCATACACCTCAAGATGAGAGAGAAAAGAGCATAGATTGGTTGGTCTGAAATTTGGGGAGACTTGGAAACTCCTGAGCCCATGGACATTGACCTAGCCGCGGAGGGCTAGAGCTGAATGTCAAGTGTACAGCTGATATGAAGTGGGGCAAGACACACAAGAATGCCCAAACTTGAAGATAGTACCCATTTGACCTAGCTTTGATGACTTCATGACCAGAGCATGATTAGAGGAAGATAAAGAAATTTTATAAAGGAAGCAAGTGTAAGTTGTTACAATATTATAAACTTGACCTATATTTATGGATATAATGGTGGTTATGTGCCATGGAGTCGGTTCCAACTCATAGCGACCCTGTACAGGGGTTTCTGAGGCTATAAATCTTTACGGGAGCAGAAAGCTCAGTTTGTTACAGTATTTAAATCTGTATTCCATCAATTTCTGAGATTTGTGTTTTAGCTATGCCTTCTGTGTAACTTGGATTTCTTCCTTCAGTACCATCGATTTTAAAATCATATGCTAGAAGCTCCTGTTGTTGTTGTTAGCTGCCATCAAGTCAGTACCGACCCATAGCGACCTTATGCACAGCAGAATGAAACACTACCCGATCCTGGGCCAATCTCACTATTGTTGCCACGCTTGAGGCCATCGATGCTGCCACTTGCCCAATCCATCTCGTTGGGGGTCTTCCTCTCTTACTCTGACCCTCCACCTTACCAAGGAAAAGATTGATGCCATGACATATGGAGATACCCAAGGAATGTTACGGCCGTATTTACAGATCTGATTTAATGGTTTTCATATCAGTGGCTAAGGTTTGTTTCATCTGTAAGATATAAGGGGAAAGCTATTTGTCAATTTAGGAAGAATGATTTTTAAGCAAATTAGAAAGTAGACAATGTGTAAAGTCCTAGATACTTCCCTATGGACCTTCCCCCATTGCCCTCTACTGAATTATGTATCAATATGTGTAAAATCAGAGTCCTGGTGTGGTGCTGTGGGTTAATGTGCTGAACTGCAAAGTTGGTTTGAACCACAAGGTCAGCAGTTCAAGCTAACCAGTCATTCCTTGGAAACCCTATACAGGGTTGCTTTGGGTCGGAACCAACTTGATGGCACTTAACAACAACAACCATGTGTTAAATCATATTTTGCTACTGTTCATACTATTTGGACCTAATATGGGTCGAATTATGCTCTCCTCAATTCTAATATTGAGTGGAAGTTTGAGAAAACCAGCCATTTACCAAAAGAAGATATCAGTGCTTTCCCCCAAAACTACTAAACCTACCTTATAATTTTTTGCTTAGGACCCTCTGAAGAAGAGTTGCTCTACGGAGAAAAGGAGATTACTATGCCTTCTATAAAAAGAGTCCTGGAAAAAAACAAATGGAAAACATGGCTACAAGAAAACTGGGAAGACTGCACGGTGAGAGCTTTGAAAAAATGGGAAACCATAGCATAAATGTCTAAACTTGAGCATCTCTAGTTTGGTGTTTGGTCTTCTCTCTCTCTTTTTCCTCCCTTCTCTTTATTATGACATGTTGTTTGCTTTCTAACCTTTATTCTGTCCTAAAATTGCTGAACTTTGTTTAGAAAAACTTAGAATCACTTGAAAATGAAATAATGCTTTTTGAATTAAAAAAATTTAATGTTTGACAATAATACCTACCAATGAGTTTATGATGTCATCTGGAGTGCCTTAAATAATGTATTAAGTCAAAGATTTTGAACAGCTGGGTCAGCCAGCCTGATTTGAACAGAGCTTTCTTGGAATAAATCAAAGATTTTCACCAGTAAAGCATATGAGCTGATTTCTTGGTGCTGAAAATGACCCACCTGACTGAATCACCTACACTGAGACTGACCCTGAAGTTAGTCAGCCTGACATCATAACGCTATGGGGCTATAACTACTTAAGTCCCTAAGACCTATAAGATCAAGTCACTCTTAGACAGAAAACTGAAGATTTAATTGGGAAGGACAACCATTAGCAACAATAAAAAAGTAAATCAACTTCTTCATAACATAGTGGAATGCCAATATTTTTGTTTTTTCCAGTGATCAAGTTATACTTGAATCAATCTTTTAAAAAGTCACTCTAAGAGTAATAAGACCAGCCACAAGTCAAGTACTGTCTGATCCTATGTCAGTGAAATATCTAGAATAGACAGATTTATAGAGACCAAAGTTTACTAGTGGCTATCAGGGATTAGTGGGTGAGAGGAAAGAGGTTGTTGTTGTTGTTAGTTGCCATTGAAACAGTATCAACTCATAGTGACCTTATGCACAGCAGAATGAAACTGCCTGATCCTGTGCCAATTTCTCAATTGTTGCTACATTTAAACCCACTGCTGCAGCCATTGTGCCCATCCATCTCATTGGTGGGTCTTCCTTGTTTTCGCTGACCCTCCACTTTACCAAGCATGATGTACTTCTCCTGGGACTGGTCTCTCCTTTTGATATATCAGAAGTATGAGACATGAAGTCTGGCCATCCTAGCTTGTAAGGAGTATTTTGGCTGTACTTCTAACAGATTTGTTTGTTCTCTTGGCAAGCCATGATACTTTTAATATTCTTCTCCAACACCATAATTCCAGTGCATCACTTTTTCCTTCTACAGTCTTCTTTATTCATTGTCCAACTTTCACATGCATGAGAGGTTATTGAAAATCCCATGGCTTAGGCAGGTTCAACTTCTCAAATTGACATCATTGCTCTTGAAGAGGGAAGAGGAAGGGGCTTATTGCTTAGGTGACACTGAGCTTCTAATGAGAGTGAAGGGATAATTTGGAAACAGATAATGATGAAGGTTGAAAATCATGATAAAAATAATAAATGTGGTTGAAACATACATGGAAAAATGTTGAAGCAGCAGCTGTTTTACTATATAAGAAAAGGAGATTATTACTGAAGATTTTAGGAAGACTTCCAGATAAAAGGTTTTTTTAAAATTTTTTTTTTTTTTTTTTTTCATCTCGTTTTACTTCCTTTCCTTCATAGACAAATCTTTCATGTCATAGAATTATAGAATGAGGGGACATGAAAGAGCTTCATTAAAGGTCTGGTCTAAGTAACTTCATTTAAAAAATAAAGAAGTCCATAAAGAAAAATGATCTGTGGCAGATATGAAAACAGAATATTTTTCCTAAGTCCAGTACTTTTCTTTTTTAAAATTAACCAAATTCTTCATCTATAATGGTTGAATACATTCTACACTATAAAATCTAAAGCAATACAACTAATGTTAAACTGCTTTTTGACCTCCACACCTAGGACTATCCTCAGAGGTAATAATTTTGGTGTATGTATACTGTGGCACTACTTAATAAAAGATAAGCATTCAACTCTAATGTAAGTTTGAACCACAAACATCCCTTGGAAACACTATATAGGGTTGCTATAAGTCAGAACCAACTTGATATCACAACAACAAATACACTCATTCTGTATAACTGTCATTTAAACTATGTTGTTTTGGGTAACATGTCCGTTTGGTTCCAACAAACAGTGACTCTGTATAAGGTTTCCAAGGAGTGACTGGTGGGTTTGAACTTCCAACCTTGTGGTTAGCAATCCAGTGCTTATCCTACAGCACCATGTTGCTGTTGTTGTTGTTAAGTGCTGTTGAGTTGATTCTGAAGTTTCCGAGGAGCAGCTGATGAGTTTGAACTACCAACATTGTGGTTCAAACCTACCTTGCTGTGCAATCTTTATCTTACATTGCAACACCAGTACTAAAAAATTCTAATAAAGTAGCCTCAAAGTATGTTAGAAATTTTGCAATTCCCTAATTAATTAATTACATGAATTAATACCAGTGTAGTTGATCATATTTTTTATTAGCTTTAGTATGTTTTTTCTGTGAAGTAGCTTTTGATATATATGTGTATCGCACTGTAGGATCAACACTGGACTGAAAACCACAAGGTCAGCAGTTCAAACCCACCAGCTGCTCCTTGGAAACCCTATACAGGGTCACTGTGAGGCAGAATTGACTTGATTGCACCTAATCACAATTATATGTGTGTGTGTATTTGCTTATTTAGTCTTTAGGCATGCTGTGGCTCTGTAGGATAAATACTGGACTGTTAACTGCACGTCAGTAGTTCGAGCTCACCAACTGCTCCATAGAATAAAGATGATGATTTTTGCTCCAATAAAAATTTACAGCTGGAGAAATCCTATACAGGGTTGTTACAAGTCAGAACTGACTCCATAGCACTTAACAATAACAAAAACATTCATACCTGGGGTTTTGTCTTTTTCATATTAACTTGTTAGAAATCTTTGTATAAGCTGAATTATGTTGTTAATGTTGTTAAGTGACATCGAGTCGCTTCCAACTCATAGTGGCCCTTTATAGGGTGCCCGAGGAGCAGCTGGTGAGCTTGAACTGCCGACCTTGTGCTTCAAACTCACCTTGCAATCCAGCGCATTAGCCCACAGGACTCCAATCTGGATCATAGCACTTGGTTTATTAGACACAGTGTAATGACATAGATTGACATAAGGGCTGCAACAATGGGCTGAAGAATAAAAATGATTGTGAGGATGGCGAAGCCCTTGGCTGTGTTTCATTTTGTTGTACATGGGGTCATTATGAGTTGGAACCCACTTGATGGTATCTAACAACAACAATAAATGTTTTGAAGGCACTTTGTGATATGTAAAAGCTTTTCATTTTGATGTCAATCCAACACTATTTTCTGATGCACCATGATGATTTCAAATGAGTTCTCTGAACTTCATTTTCCAATTCATAACATGGGCAAATTTACAAAGTAACATTGACTATAATAGACATATTTGCTGTTACACTGTAAGAATTAATCCAGAGTAGCAACTTCATAAACCTGAGATCAGGCCTAAGGTTCAGAAACATAAAACAAGGAGTAATTATACTCCACAACAGAGAAAATAAATAGGCATATGAAGGAAATTCCTTAATACAAGTCAACATTCAGCCTTTTCTTTCAGATCATCCTTTGTTGTTATTATTTTTAAGTACCATAAATTTGGTTCAAACCCATCACTACTGTCTACACAACAGTATGAAACACTGCCCAGTCCTGAACTGTCCTCACGAGTGTTGTTATGACTGAGCTCATTGCTGCTACCACTCTCATTATGGGTCTTCCTATTTTCCCTGACCCTCAGTTTTACAAAGCATGATGTCCTCCAGGGACTGGTCCCTCCTCATAATATCTCTGAAGTACAAGAGACAAAGTCTGGCCATCCTGACTTCTAAGGTACACTCTTGCCATACCTCTTCCAATATCAATTAGTTGTTTTGGTAGTTCATGGTACTTTTGGTATTCTCCTCAAACACCACAATTCTAATGTTTTAATTCTTCTGTGGTCTTCTTTATTCTTTGTCCAACTTTCACATATATGTGAGGTTATTGAAAATACCATGACTTGGGTTAGATGCACTGTAGTCCTCAAACTGACATCTTTGCCCTTGAACACTTTAAAGCAGTTTTGTGCAGAAAATTTACCTATTGCAATATGTCATTTGATTTCTTGACTGCTGCTGCCATGAGTCTTGATGGTTGATCAAAATAAATAAATAAAGTCTTTGACAGCTTCAATCTTTTGTCCATTTATATGGATGCTGTTTATTAGTCCAGTGGTGAGGATTTCTGTTTCTTTACAATGAGGTGCAACCAATATTGAAGGTCTTTGACCTTCATCAATAAGTATTTTAAGTCCTCTTTGTTTTCAACAAACTAGATCTTCCTTGTAGGTGTATGGATGTTATCCTATCACAGACAGCATTATAATTCAAAATGATCTTGAAATGTTATTTTTGATGTTCTATGCTATGCTATTCCTTTGGAATTTATTGCTGCTGGCACAGAAACCATGTGATTGTCATATTCAAAATGGCAAATACCAGTCCATTTCAGTTCACTAATGCCTAGGATATTGATGTTTATGTGTTTCATGTCTAGTTGTTGAAGCTAGACAATAAATAAGTAAATAAAAATAATTATCTAATTAATAAATGCCTTCCAATTAGTAAGACTATAATGGAAAACCAGAACCAACAGTGTCTTAGCAAAGAAAACTAAATCTGTCAATAGTCAAAAGAGGTCTCTCTAAAGAGGGAAGGATAAGCACTGGACTATGAACCACAAGTTTAGTGGTTCAAATCCACCAGTCACTCCTCGAGAGAAAGATGAGGTTATATGGTTCTGCAAAGATTTGAAGCTTCAGAAACCCTATAATGGCTTTCTATGAGTTGGAAATGACTCCACAGCACCTAATAACTATAACAAAGAGGGGGTGTTTAAGTTATTGATGATAGATATAATTTTTTATTTTATTTAAGCTTTATTTAAAAATCAAGATCTTTTATACTTTGGAAATTTTTATAATGCATAATGTCTGAAAATCTCAGGCTTTAATGATTTATCTGAGGGTAGAGATATTGATATTTCCTTACAGTTATGAAATTATTTTGCCTGAGATTTTAGAAAGGGGGATTGCAATTTTATTCAATAATTTTTGTTGGGAGGAATTGATGCTGAATTTGTAGAAATAAAAAATTAGAAATAGAGTTTATTTGACAATACTTCAGTTGAGAGTGGTTTTAATTTTCTTTACATGAAAGTTGACCAACTTTTACTAAAAGTAATATTAATGGGTAAATTCATGACCTATGAAATATTTCAGTGTCATTTTTAGGCATGTGTTCTTAGTTACTTTAAAACCAAATCACAGTTTTTAATCTTTTCAATGAAGTTATCTTACTCTGAAATTCTTACTATTTTTATGATTTCTGAGCATTTCCAAGTAAAGCTAATGGCAGTAATACTTTTGATTCTCTATCATAGGTTGATCCCCTGCACATTTTTTGACCACTAGAGAAGTTTTGAATCTCTTTGAAGGTCCTGTTTCACCATCCTAAACTTTATATGCCATTTATAATTCTGATCATGGTCTTTGCCCTTCCTATCTGGTGAATCACTGGACCATATCTGTGAGCATTTGTTGTGTTTAGCAGAGGCACAAAAAACAAAGGATGAAACATAATTGGTTTAAATACTACATTTTTCATATTTAAAAGTTTACAAAGTACATGTTATTATGTTATTTTTCTCTTTATTTGTTTTTCCCTTCAGAATTTGAACATTTCATTTCAGAATTTGGGGGATCCTTACCAAATTGAAAATTTTAAAAGGATTCTTCGAAGACTAATTCGAGTCCAAACTCTCTGGCTAGTGGATAATTCACTGGTGGACTTAAGTGCTATAAGATTGCCAAGGTACCTGCTTTCTAGTGCATCCAGTTACTAAGTTAAGGTCAATACTTTGATAGTTGGATGCATGTGACATTTGTATATGTTTTTATGCTTCCTGTGGTCACCTCTTTAAGGTGAAATTTTCTGCTACAGTGAAAGTGACATGGCAAAGTAAAATGAGAAATTTATATATCAAAATGTCGAGCTTTAGAGGGGGAAAAATGAATATTTTTATTATCAATTTCTAGAGAAGTAGTTTGTAGGGATGGAGTCACATTTGTTAAAAAAAAAAAAAAAAAAGCTTGCCATTTTCCTTATATTGTAAATTGCAGAATGCAAATTCATTACATATAGGTTAGACTTGTAGGATGGTGATTTTTGTCCTACTTATCTGTGCAGAATGACTTTAAGAAACCAAAAACCACTCATGGTTAAGAGTATTGGCTCCCAGGTAGCATTCTAATGAAGGAAAGATGGTGAGTGCATTAGTGAAAGAAACAAACTTAAAAAAATCTCTGTGGATCTTCTGAGCTTCCAAGACGTCCCTAGGTAATGCAGATGGCATGTGCTCATCTACTGACAAGACCCTCACTCATCTATGCCAAGAAATTTGGAAGACTGCTACCTGGTCAACTGACTGACAGAGATCCAGTTCTAAAGAAAGGGACTCATCAGACTGTGAAAATCATTGAACAACATCATTAATATCAAAAGCAAGTAAAATTTTGCTGAAGATAATTCAAAATTGAGCATAGCAGTACATTGACTGGGAGCTACCAGAAATCCAAGTTGGGTTCAGAAAAGATTGTGGAACTAGGTATATCATTGCTGACATCAGATGGATCTTGACTAAAAGCAAAGAGTATTAGAGAGTTTATTTGTGCTTTACTGACTATGCAAAGGCATTCAGTTGTATAGATTATAACAAATTATTGATAAAATTGTGAATAGTGGCTATTCAAGAACACTTAATTGTGCTTATGAGAAACGTGTACATAGCATAAGAGGCAGTCATTAGAACAGAACAAGGGGATGCTGAATAGTTTTAAAACAGGAAAGATATGTGCCAGGGGTGTATTCTTCCATCACACTTATTCAATCTGTATGCTGAGAAAATCATTCAAGAAACTTGATTATATGAAGAAGAACATAGCATCAGATTTGAAGGAAGGCTTACTAACAATCTGAGATATGCAGATGACACAAACATACTTGCTGGAAATAAAGAGGACTTGACAAATTGGTGAAGAACAAAGCCTTCAGTATGGATTGTTGTTGTTTTTGTTAAGTGCAATCAAGTCGATTCCGACCCATATCAACCCTGTTTAGGGTTTCTGAGAAGCAGCTGGTGAGCTTGAACCGCTGACCTTGCAGCTCAAATGGCTTTACAGTCTGGCGCATTAACCCTCAGCGCCACACCAGGACTCCTCAGTATGGATTACATGTCAATAAAGGGAAAATGAAAATCATCACAACTGGACCAATAAATGACAATAAGGTAAATAGAGAAACGATTGAAGTTGTCAAAGACTACATTTTGCGTGGATCCACAATAATTTCTTATGGTAGCAGCAGTCAAGAAATCAAACAAGGTATTGCATTAGGCAAATTGGCTGCAAAAGACCTCTTCAACGTGTTAAAGAGCAAAGACAGCAGTTTGAATATTAAGGTGCTCCTGACCCAAGCCATGGTATTTTCGTTTGCCTCATATGCATGTGAAAGTTAGACAATGAATAAGGAAGACAATTGAATACTTGATGCATCTGAATTATGGTGATGGAGAAGCATATTGAAAGTACAGTGGACTGCTAGAAGAACAAACAAATTTGTCTTGGGAGAAGTCTACAGCCAGAGAGCTCCTTAGAAGTGAGGTTGGTGAAACTTCATCTCTCATACTTTGGACATGTGGTTAGGAAAGAACAGTAGTTGGAGAAGGACATCATGCTTGGAAAGCTGAAGGGTCAGAGGAAAACCCCCAAGAAGATGAACTGACAGTGGAGCAATGTACTCGAATGTAACAATTGCGAAGATGGCTTAGGACTAGAAAGTGTTTTGTTCTGTTGTGCATAGAATTTCTCTGAATCAGAACTGACTGGACAGAACCTAACAATAGTGACAATTAACTAAAAGGTTGGCTGTTCAAACCCACCCATTGTCACCACAGCATAAAGGCCTGGAGATCTGCTTCCAAAAGGTTACAGCCAAGACTATCCTATGAAGCAGTTCTTCTCTGTGGCACATGAGGTTGCCATGACAGAATGGACTCAACAGCAATGGGTTTGGGTTTCTGTTTTGTTTTTTTCTTCTAAGGATCCTACATGAAAGATAATTAACCACTTTGTGCCATAGGCTAAGCACCTGATCTCAGGGTTGCTTTGAATCACAAGGTTGGTGGTTCAAACTTCCCAACCGCTCTTTGGAAACCCTATACAAGGTCACTATGATTCAGAATTGACTCGCTGGCACTTAACAACAACCTCTTTGCTCAGGATTCCTTAAGAACACTTTTTTAAAGAGTTGCTGACTGAAAGTTGTATGATTTAAATTCACTAGAGGCACCTCAGAAGAAAAGTCTGGTGATCTACTTCTAAAAAATCAGCCACTGAAATTAGTATTGAGCACAGTTCTACTCTGACAGACATGGAATCAGCATGAGTCAAAATTGGCTCAATGGCAACTGTTGTTTTATCTACTTCATCAGGCAGAATGGAATAGGTAAAGTGAGCTTTGGTAGCAGGGTCTTCAGCTGTGAAATAGGAGATGATGCAAGTTGAGCATTCACAAGAAGGAAGAGCAGACTCTAGAACAGGTTAAGACACATCTCTGATGCTGGTCTGAGATTGAACAACAAAGAGAGACCATCACAGCTGCACAGGAGAGGGAATCTGTCAGGCAGAGGGAGGAAATGTGAGGTATGAGAATATGCAATGTGTGGGTATCCCCACCTTCACTCACTTTCAAAAGCCCTTTAGAACTTGCATAGTGTTTTAATTTATATATGCTGTTCTTATTGACTATGTTTAGAATACCTAACTAGTTTTTTTTCAAGAGGATATTTATATCACTACTAAAAATTCAATAGCATTTGATGCTAATTTATTTAGTTTTTGTTTGGGTCATACTGTATTCTAGGTAGTGAGGATATGGTAATGGTATATTAGCTATAGTTTTATAATACACATGAAAGTAGACATGGTGGTAGTGTACAATCAAGTTGGTTCCAACTCATACAACTGCAAAAACATATTTTAAATGACCATATATACATTTTAGGAATATTGAACTAGAAAATTAATTAATTGGGGTATCTGAACTTGACCGATCCAGAATTCGAATAAGAAGGTCAGGATCTGCTTGGGCATTGTTTGGGATTAGACATTGTCATAGTACAAAAATATACTTAAAGAAAATATGTAGCTGTAATAACGCAGAAATCAAAGACATGATTCAAACTGTAAAATATGCATATATGGATAAAAACTGGGAGGAAACAAGGGAAATGGAATCTGGATGGATTGAAACCGAATTCTCTTTTTGAGTACACTGTCAAGCAGTCCCCAATTTGTATATAACGATATTTACCACGAATAGTATGATTTACTAAGTGTCTTTATGGGCTCTACCGTTTATCCCACAAAGAAAAATACACCATGTTTCTCTCAGTGTATTAAATCCCAACTTATATATAAAGGAGTTTCTCTTTAAGGCAGGCTGTCAGTGATCAATTTTGAATTATTTCCTTTGTTCACATATTCTTGTACAATTATGGCTTTAAGGCAAAACTATCAAGAATCATTATTTATCAGCAAAATGTGTTCAATTTTAATGCCTAACACACTTTACTCCTCCAAAGAATACTTTTTTAGTTTTCTTTTATGTATTAAAAAGATGTTTTTCTGATTTAAAAAGCTATTTCTTCAAAATGGGAATTGAATACAGAGAAGTAGAAAGAAAGAAATATAAGTACAATCTCACCACTTCGAAGCAATACTCATTATGCACAAGTTATTACGTTTCTTTGTGCATGTTTTTGTTCTGTTTTGCTGAGATCACATGTGGCCATCCACTCTTTCATTCTGGATATAATGAGAACCTGTATGAGTAAAATACTGTGCCAAGTACTAGGAAAGAAACAAACTACAGCACTTGGTAAAATGACAGTGTCGTGTATCCTGCCTGCTATCTCTTCAAGTTGTAGTATAAACCGTTCCCATTTATTTATAAACCATATTTGTGGTAAGAGTCACTGTCACTCTCTTAGGGAGTGAAGCATGCCCGTCCTATATAAGATTTGGTAGTCATTTTCTTTGAGATGAATGACTAGATGTTAAATTTTATGTCCAGCTGCAGAGTTTTAAATCTAAACAAAAACCATCTTACATCTTTCAAACAATTGCCAAAGATACCTCAAATACAACATTTATCTTTGGCTGAAAACAAGATTGAGACTCTGACCGGACTCTCCAGTTTACAATGCACCCCTTTAGAAGCCCTTATGCTCAAGAGGAACCCTTGTGAGTTTCACCAAAATTACCGGAAACGGTAAGGCCCCAAAGGGACATTTTGCACTTCTTCGAATACCATACTTATAACAATTGTTCCTTTCTCACTTATAGTCATACTGTAAATTTTTTACTTATCTGCTATGTGCCAAACACTTCATATTCCTAGTCTTACTAAAGAACTTTGAACTGGCTCTATTTATATATTTTGGAGCTCTTTCATTGGGAGCATAGATATTTATTATGGTTATTTCATCTTGTTCAACTGTCCCTTTAATCATGAGATAATGTCCATCTTTATCTATTATGCTGTTTTTTGCCTTAAAGTTTATTTTATCAGAGATTAGTACTGCCACTC